GAAACCGCTGCCGCTGTCACTCCCCATGAAACCTCCGTGCAGTCATGTGAGGGATTATTCTGAAGATGAGTCATGTAAGCACACAGGAGAGAAATACAAGTGCTTGCTGACAGGTCTCCAACCAGGCAGCGAACTGTCTGGTGCAAGATGCCTGCACAGGGGATAAAGGAGGCACTGCCTAACTCATAATCTTCTCCGTGCTCTTGTCCATGCAGAAGAGCTGTCTTGAGTCTCCACCTCTTTCTCACCTTTTGCAATTGCAAAAGCCGTTGGGAGTCTCTGTCTTTCTCCTTCACCTTTCATCCTCAAGGAAGCAGCTACCAGCCTTGTAGTCCGCTCCTCCCAGAGCCATCCCTGTGCCTTTTTCCACCCGCATAGAATGCCTTCCATAAAGCCTCTGTCCCTTTCTTATAGGGTCCCCCTGTCTCATCATTTCTATGAAGCTAATGAAAAAGGAAGTAAGCTTTCATTACACCGCTCAGGTCAGAAGGGTTAAAAGTCCCATTTTTTGTGTCATGGTTTGTTTTACCTGACCAGTGTTCTTGCTGCAACCTTTCCCTTCCTCGCTCCCATCTTTTTTCTTTAGTTTGCCACCTGCATTTATCACATCTGCAAGCACATTAGAACAGGAATGGTTTTTTTCTTTGTATTTTCTTTGGGAAGCACTTAGCAGAAATTTGGGCCTGGTGAATACAACAGTGCAATAACACTAGTATTTTCCTACATCATGTCTCTTCATTGGATAGTTCCAGTAACACTTTTTGTGCTGCCTATTCAGATTATCACACAATACTGCAATCCAAAGGAGAATTTGATTGCTTATGGCTTATGGCAGTTCTTTTCCAGACTTCTGAGTCGGAGGCAGTTCTCTGCCTCAGGTATTTTTTCCTGAGCAGCTAGACAGTGTAACTTAAAACACTTCAAAAGAAACATTTACCCATAGGTCTTGAGAAAACCCTGGATCAAACTAGTTTCAATCCAGTTCTGTCATGCTTGGCTGTTCTCTGATTTTCTAAGCCACTGTGCCAGCCCTGTAGATCATAAAGATATTTAATTGATTTAACAAAGGCAAGCCTGGGAGCATGACGAAAGGGCAGCAATTACAGAGACAGAGAAAATACGCGTCATGCCTTCCCTAGAAGTGATGTGTATAGCAGACATTCTGGAAAAGGTTCAGTTTTTTCTCTATCAATGCATATAAGTGCTCTCTGCAACCAGTTATACCTCATCTGAAGCCAAGTGTCTCATTTTTTTCACTGCTCATCTCAAAGGGGTATATTTTTAGAAGGCTTACAGCAAGGAGTTCATGTTTTGTAAACAGAAAAGTCAGGATAATTATCAAAAGCCAATCAATAAAGCACTGTACCTAAAACCACATCAAAAGGTGGCTTTGCTTGCCTCTTATAAGAGCTCTTCGGTTTTTTGAGCCAGACTCTCCAGGCAGTAAATATAGGTGGCTATTTATTCCGAGGAAGGACATGCATCATTTAATACTCAGCTTTCCAAATTTCTGGGCTCTCTTCTAAATAGCAGCAAATATGAACAGCTTTGGTACAGTGTGCACAGTGTCTTTATCTAATATAGTCATCCATTAGTACTTCACCAATCATGGATATCAACAATTTAGGTATTTTGTGGTGGAGGATCATAGGTTCTCAAGAAATGAATCATCTAATCCTTGCAGATTCTGCCAAAACACATATTAAACTGTGAAACTTCAGAGCAAATCTCTCACCACTCGATGAATTCATTGCATTTCTACTAAAGAATTGCCTCACTTAGCCTTATTTATTACCACCTTAGGAAACATGACCAGACGGAACAGACAGACCCTGAGCTTTGCCCGATACTATCTACTTGGTCAAACTTTGGTAGTAAAGGGAAAATGTAGAAAAAGACAGGAGATCTTTCTTAACAGGAAGAAGGTTATACACTGCATGATTTGTAAGGGACAAATTCCACCCCGTACAGCACCCAGGCGCTCTAGTGATAGGCACAGGTATTTCATTTCTAAACAAACTGGCTGAATAGCTGCACGACTGGCTCAGCAAGTCAAGTCTTCCACGGGTGAGTGGAGCTGTGCCAACTTCTATCAGCTGAAGATCTGGTTGTGTCTGTGTTTGACTGAACTACCTGGAGCTTTTGCAGTAGTTCCTTAGGAAATGTTTCAGTCTGAGTAAGACTGAGGGAAGAAAGACAACAGCTCCATATTTTTTCTGGCAATTAGAGGAAAATCCTGATGGCACGTTCTACTAAACTTTAAGCCTGACTTGGTTGACTTCAGTCACATATAAGGGAAGGAGCATCATTTCAGAAGGGACTTTCAGAGATGGTAGGAAAAGGGATAGTTAATATGAATGTGCAATTAGTGTGCGATGCACCTGGAATCAGGAAGCGGTTATTGAGGCAGGAGGACGGAAGAGAATTAAATCAGGCCATGGTTGGTATAAATCTTGTGGCATGCTTTGAGGTCATCCTTATGGGAGCAAATAACATTTTCTTGTAGGATGTTGGCACAAACTTGTAAGTTGTAAAATTCCTTCCTCAACAATTCATTTGTCCTTTACTGTTAAATATCTTATTTTGTTGTGTACAACTCACTCACAACTTCTGCTGGCATAAACCAAACTGCTGGTCCACTGGTAATACGATACTTTGAAAAGAAGCAGGACATAAGAAATGTAGTGTATGCGGGGGACAAAAATCAAACATGCCCCAAAAGCAGATTGACCGAGGCAGCCAGAGAACATACAGATTTATCTCAGAACTTTTCAGAAGCAAGAAGAGCCTCTAGCTGAACTCAGAGTCTTCACCTGATGTCCGTCTGGAGTCAGTCCTGCACCTCTAGTTCAATTTTACTTGCAGACTGTGGCCGCCTGTGTTCAGTGGAAGGGGTTTCATTTGAAATAAGAGCAGTCTGCGAAAGGAGCCGTTTAAGGTACTCCTAAAGGTATTTCGAATAAATACCGCTGTCTCCAGCAGGGCATAACACACACTGGATGGGAAAAGACTTTACTCAACTGAAAACAAAGCAGTGCTATTAATTTAAATACTGCATTATTGTATTTAAATTAAAAGTAATTCATTATAGACACATTCTCTTAGGAGCTGAGCATCCTGGACCTGATCCAGTGGAGTGCTTACTGCTTAGCTTTGAGCACAAGTGGGCTGTTGACTGCGTTCAGCTGATCTATTGCTTGAAATGAAGCACATCCTTGAGATTTCCGCTTGACGGGGATCACAGTCCACACCACCTTGTGGGACCGAGTCTGATGTAGCTTTTCTATTATTACGCCTTATAGAATAGCATGATCATTTTTCCGTAGTTAAAACTGAGGAACTAAAAACCCCCACAATAGTAATGAAATACTGTGACAGAAATGGAGCTAATACCATTGCAGTAGTGTTAAAATGTGTGTGTGCAATATCTGTTTTCAGGTTACCAAGGCAGCTTTCACTCAATACAAAACTGTTTCCACTATGGAGACTGCTACAGAACAATGGACCAGTCTGTCACCAGTGATGTGCTAACAGGGGAATCCCATTGCTTTAATCCTCTGAGACAGAATGGCTATCACATACTCAATGCACCTTTAGCTTCAACAGGTAATTTATTCCGCCTATAAAGAATTATCCATATGATATTTTTAGCAGGAGGGGAAAAGAACACATTTTATAGTCAATGTTATTACAAAAATGTGTTTGCATAAACAACTCAGTCACTGAAATTCATTTGCATCTATAAAAGTCCCAGAAGGAAAGCAAATTTGTTTTCTTTAATCCTCCTGTATTTGACTGATGGACAAATTCTCCTTTTGTTCTGCTGGATGACAAAGGCAACACACACCTTCAGGAGAGCTGACAAAGGAGACACTTCTCACATTTATTGGGTGGGCTATTCATTGTACATCCCTTCAGGTGCGCTCACGCAGGCTTTTATAATCAGATCAAAGTTAAGAAGATAGTTAACTCTGAAGAAAAGAGCAGTAGGGACTTCCTGTCCATCTAAGAATAAAAGGATGGCTTTGTTTTGCAATACTGACGTTTACAAAATGGAAAGGCACTGCTTTGATAAATTCAGCTGAAAATATTAGTTTCTTTTTGTTCGGGAGTTCCTTTGTGTTTGTGCTGTTGCATATTCATGGCAATTGTATTGTCCCATTTAGCTACATATTTGCATAATGTAAAATGTGCAACAAGTTATTATAGCTAGATTACTGTAATACTTCAATATTTAAGTATTCATTTTTGTAAAGCATTTTTTTCTACTTTTAAAACCACAATTAAGAACTGACAGAATTACTGAAATCAAACAAAATGTGAGTATTGTCAGAGCCGTGGAACACTACCATTTACTGCAACCTTTACTTACGTATCTCCAAGAAATTTTTCTTCTTGTCTGAATTCAGGAGGGCATCTCGGCTAAGAACGATACTGAAAACATATGTTTAAATGCTTTTTGAAATGGGGCCTGAGTCAGACCACAAAATTAGAGTTGACTTTCCTGTTTGTTTTGTATTAAAGGAGACTCTGTTCAGAGAGAGCGTGCATGCATTTGTCTGGTGTTCCATACTAGAAAGTGTATGCATCAGTAACGAACGCACGGGAAAAGTTTAAGATGAAGTTTCAACTTCAACTTTGAATTCTTTTGTGTTATTCATAAGTTTGATGTTACTAAAACATAGTTTTCTCATGTTAACATCAAATTTCAAGTTTAGATTGACAGCCTGCAATATTTAAAGAACAGACTAAATAAACTTTCCAAAAGAAATTGTAGGAGCAAAGAATAATACTATGGCAAGACACCAACTTCAACAACAGTTGATTTTTCTGTCTGGGGCTAAACTATTAAGAGATGTTCCTGTGTAATATTTTTGTTTTTAGAGTGGTTATTGAGGTATGCAAATACTTAAAAGGCTGAAACATAAATATATATGAAATATATAAATCTTATCTCATCTTTTTGTGTGTAAAATAGAACCATTCAGGTTTGCAAGATTCATCAAGGCTATGCATTAATTTTTTTCAGGCTTTTATAGCACCATTAATATTA